CCGGACTGATGTTTGCAGATGATTTCGTGGGGGTATCCGAAACACCAGAAGGGTTGCAAGAACAAATAGATGCGGCGGTAGGATACACCCGAAAATGGAGACTGTCGGCGAACGTAGGAAAATGCGCAGTAGTGGTCTGTAACGAAGATAAAAAAACCCCCGTAGAATTCAAATGGAAATGGGGGGAGGAAGAACTACCGGTAGTAGACAAGTATACGTACCTGGGAGTAGAGATTTCGAAGGAGTGCTCATGGGACGCACACATAGCTAAGTTGATTGGGAAGGGTAAAGCTCAGATAGGCAAGATGGATGAGATCCTTACGGACCCACACCTAGACACTAGGATTAAGAGGTGTATTCTCTTGAAGGTGATTGTACCTAAGCTAGAGTATGCAGGAGAGATATGGGAAGGTAACGAAAAGGCCGTCAAGCAGCTGGAAACGGTGCAGATGGCAGCGGCCAAGAAAATACTAGGATGTTCAAGTACAACGAGCAACACTGTATTGAGAGCAGAATTGGGAATGTACTCTCTTAAAACAAAGAGAGACATGCAGAAGTTGAAGTGGCAGTACAAGGTAAGTAGAATGTCGGACGATAGACTACCAGCCATGGTTGACGAGGCAGCTTGGGGAAAAGCGACTCCAGGGAAGAAGGGAATCAGATGGGACAAGGTGGTAGAGAAGGTTTGGAAGGAGATAGGAGACGAGGAGGAGACGTTGGACACGGAAGGGTTCGGGGGGTTCAAGACGAAAGTCAAGGAGATGCTAGAGAGTAGGGGGGAGACAACCCTTCGGAAGAAAGTACGAAGCGAAGACCACTTGGAGATATACGGGAAGTTGAAAGAAGGGATAGGGATGAAGAAGTACTTGGACGGCCCCATGGACTATGCGAAAAAGCTGAAATTGCAATTTCGAGTAGGCGATCTGGACTTGCCAGAACGGAGGAAGAGGTATACCAGCCGTAGGAGAGAGGAAGAGGAGGATAGACACACATGTCCATGTGGCAAATCGGAGGAGAGTAGACCCCACATAGTTGGGGAGTGTGAGTTGTACAGGAAGGAAAGAGAGGATCTCGAGGAGGAAATGAGACAGAGAGGGTGTGACATGGACAAGTTTGGTAAATTAGGCAACAGCGAAAAAACGATCGCGATAATTGGGGATAGATGGTGGGCACAAGAGGCCCTAGAGGACGGGGATAAGATGTGCAAGAAATTTTTATGGAGTTTGTGGCAGAAACGTAAAGAGCTCCCAAATGTTGGTGGTGTCTCTAGTAGGTGTAGGAACGGTGCTCCGTCTCGAAAGGGACGCGTGGTCAATGGTCAAATGACTACGGCAAGCAACAAATGAGTACGCCCCCCCCCTCTTGACAAAGCCCCCCCATGGCGTAAAAGCCACCGCAACCGTAACAGAGCTCGCAGGCTCAATAAACAACCTACCTTCCGAATCGTCTTGACCTCCCCCTTGACAAAGTCCTCCATGGGGTAGAAGGCGTTCTCCAGCGGCCTTAGGAGGATGTCCTCCTGGAAGCCCTGGATGTCCCCTAGGACGCGGCCAAGCTCCTCCAGAGCTGGTGCCAGGGCCCCGAGCCGCGTGAACCAGCTCTCCCTGCGGAGGAGGGGGGGGAGGGGGCGGGGGTGTCGGGCGGACGTGAGTACAAAAAGAGCGCAGATGAATTAACGCCCACGCCTTGTGCGCAGGTGGGTGGCAAACAAACAGCAATACACACACGGGACACCAAAGATGGTCTAAGCGGTAGCCGATCGAACTAGCCATGTCCCTGCCCCCCTGTTTCAATGTCGGGAGAGCCTTAGATAGCGGCCAAGACAAAAACGCCGACGTGTCGCCATGGAAGACATTCACCGATCCCTGTGATCGGGCTCAGCCCTCCCCGTTGCCGGCTAGAAAATAGCCGTGGTGGCAGATAGCGCCGATGCCATTTTGACCGCGAGGCATGGTAAGATGCCAGCCAACCAAAACACACGTGCACGACAACACCACCACCGCACGAGCGCTTGCTTGCTTGCTATGCTTCGCTCTTCCCTTCCCCACTCACCCCCGTGGGTTCATCAGAACGCCCGCCAGCTCCCGGCCGTGCTCGCAGAAGGCCAAGCCGTTGCCGCAGTACTTGCGCGCGACGGCCACGAGCTGCTGCAGCTGGCCGCGAAGACCTAATTGTGGGGAAAATACACACACACATACACACACACACAACCGAAAGGGGGGGGGTGCTTGCACGCCGCCTTGTGTACTGTCTTGGCATCTAGACACCTGATGGTCATGTCAATACCATCGACCTCGCCGCTTAGACGACATCCAGCGAGGGGGTGTACTCATGTAAAAGAATGCCATAGTTGTTATACCATAGACGTCGCAGTGCGGGACGGAGCGATAAGCCGGGTTTTCGCCGGCCCGGGCAACGTTTTCACCGGGATGAACCAGAACATGGTCATTATCCTTGTGTTTGCTGTGCCAAACCAGATATGCCATGGGTTGATTTGGGCTTCCCGGCTAACCAGACGCTGTACGTCCGGCAGGCACGACAATACTTCGAGAACTGCAAGGGACGTCGATCTTTGCTGGTACGAGGGGGGGGGGGGGGGGAGGGGCATCCTCGTCCTATAGAGACTCTTGTGGAAGGATGGGAAAACACCAACATTTCTGGGACGGCTATACGCATGTTTCGGATCTCGTGCGTACCGTACCAGTGGCCAAGGCTGCACGGCAGGGCGGCGGGAACATCGTGCGAGCAGCCGCAACAGAACGCCAAGCGACCAAATATACATGGCGCTCCCGCATATGCATACAACCCTGTTATCGAAAATGCATGGAGCCTTTTGAGTACCAGTATCAACACCCCCCCAACAGGGACAAGCCAAATCAGCAGGCATACAACAGCATAGACCGGAAAAATTCTCGGACTTACCGCACACCGCACTCGCTCAAAACACGAGGGAAGAAAGCACCAGCTGGCATCACTGATACAATTCAGTTTACCAGGCTTGAACAAACTCAAAACAAGCCCAGTTTCCAGCCGGTTTCCTTCCACTCACTGAAAATACTTCAACATGTCCCATTCGACTGTGGTTGTGACTCGAACGGGAAATCTTTCTGTGAGATTATGTAAGCGTTCTGAAAACATCCTCAGGTCGATCTCCGCAAGGCTGGTACCACGGCGATCACGTCCAAAACTAGACAAACCCATGCGGAGCGGAGAAGAAATCACACACACATACGCACACACACGCTGTCGGTGGAACCTGTTCGTGTGTACTATCCCGCTGCAAGACTGACGTATTTTCATTGGTCAGCCGGTCAGCGCGGTCGGTGCAAGTTAAGCAAAAAAGTACACAAGCATACCTTCCACGTTGCTATCGAGAGTCTCGACCTTTCTCCGAAACGCCGGAGAATCCTCGCCGAACTCCATCACCAGGTTCGGCAAGAATAGCTCCTTCTGGTCCACGTTTGGATGCTTCGGCTCTGCCGCCGCCGCCGCCGCCGCCGCCACCCCCTCTCCCGCCGCCCCTGCCCCGGATGCTTGCCGTTCCGATTGAGAGACGTCGCCGCCACCGCTACCACCATCGCGTGTTAACTGATCATCGCCCACGGAAGGTGATGGCCTTGTGTGGGTGTTAACAGGCAAGCGGGCGGAAAATACCCGAACGGATGCCGTGGCGTTCGGGAGCGAGGGTGGGAGGGTTGGAGTGGTGGCAGGAAGACACGACGAGAGACTAAACGGGTCCCGTCCCTGCAGCGACGACGACAACCAGGCACGCAACAGCAGCAGGATACACAACGACAACAACTCGAAAAATAGAAAGATGATCCAGCTTTGTCTGCGGCGGCGGCGGCGGCAGCAGCAGCAGACAGCAGAACAACAACGACAACAGCTTCTCCGCAGCACCATTTAGCAGCATCAGCATCCGCACAACACCAAGCCACGCCAACACTTTAACCAGCAACAACCTACACCACTACACACCACACAGCGCCCCGAAAGCAAGCAACGAGGCCGTCCCGTTCAACATACCCCCCCACCACCACCACCACCACCACATAAGCCACCTCAACAACCCGTGCCACAAAGCACGCACCTGCTGTCGCCGGGGGAAGTCGTCCCGACGCTTCTGGAACCATCTGCACACTCCTCCCCAATCTTCCCCCCCTCGCTTCCCGCGCCTCCGCCGGCGTCACCCACGGACTTGTTGGACGGCGTAGATGGCGGTGGTGTGAACTGCCGAGCCGCTCCAACAGGGGAAGTTTCGCCGCCTTCCTCCCCGCATCCATCGCAAGAACTAGGCGTGGCTTTTTCGCACCGTGAGGCCCAAGAAAAAAGGAAAACACAGGTCAAGGGGAGAGACAGAAAATCAGAAACAGGAGAGACATTCAGACGCCGACCCCTCCTCCAACCCCTATAAAAAACAAACAAGGACACACAGATCGAAGGAATAGGCGGGACATGACATCATGTAGGTTGGCCACGGGACCCTTTCTTGTCGGTGAAAAGGGGTAGCGCCCCCCCCCCCACCCCCCCCCGGAACTCCCCACGCCCCCTAATTTTAATTACCAACTTCATAAAAAACAAAAAAAAAAAGAATTCCTCCCCCCCCCCCCCTTACTCCCTC